GGAGGAGAGACGAGCGAGAGAGGGTAGAGAGTGGAGAGAGGCAAACTGTATATGTATATTTGTCAAATAATTGTATATACTTATATACATATGTATTTATATATATGACGAGAGAGATTGAGAGAGGCAGGAGAGAGGCGAGCGAGATTGGGAGAGAGAGGAGAGAGGCGAGCAAGAAAGGTCAGAGAGTGGAGAGAGGTTAATTGTATTTGTATAGATGTCATATAATTGTGTGTGTGTATATATATATGTGTGTGTGTAATACGTATTTGTATATGTATAAAAGAAGACAAGTGACGTAATTAAAACTAAAATTAAGTTGCGAGCCGTAATTAATTCAAACTATAGATATATTAGCTAATTAACTAGTATATGTTTTTAGTGAGATAATTATTAATTATTTCAAACTATAGAATTGATTAATATTTATGGTAAGAATATTTATGTAATTATATAGTTTTTCCTTTAAAATGGCTATTTACCAATTTTAACCAGCTCCAACTCTCAATAAGGTTTTGGGCCATAACATTAATGGGCCGAAAAGGTTCAATTTTCTTTCAAAAATAGCTTATTTTTTTTAATTTTTTCATTATATATACTGTATATTTTTATTTTGGCGCCATTTTACAGCTTCTCCAGCAAGTTTCTGCCTTCCCTGGACATGATTCAAGGAGAAAGATGAGAACTTCAATGGTTCAAAATCCGGGCGTCAAATCGGTACATTACCTTCTCCGCTGTCAATTATTTTTTATTTTTTATTTTTTTAAAATCGGTATCGGAATTGATGTTTTATTTCTGAAAATGTTTGTCCAGAGTTGTTGAAAAGGTATAAAAAATTGGTGAATTCTAGTATAGTACTTTAAATTAGATATGAAAATGCTTTGCTTTTTTGGGAAATCATTTTCTAGAGTGTGGTTAGGTATAAATTTCAATTGATAAAGGTTCAATTTTTCACCTTGTAATCCCCTCACCATTTCCCCTATGTATAATTTTATTTTATTTTAAAGAAAGGTATATAGGTTTGTGACATCTGATAATAGTACACTGTGTAAAATAAGGCATGGAGATAGACTTTGACACATTTTTCGGATATTAGGGATTGATATTGAGGCGTAAATATTGTTTGAAAGTAAGTGAAGTGATATAGAGTAAGAGTTCGGATATATTTCTACCCATGAGTGAACGAAGTTATTTTTCCAGTTTTTTGGAGATAAGATAGCCAAATATAAGGAATTTTTCTCAATCCGAACAAAAAGAAGAAAGAATGGGTGTGTTTGGTAGGAAGGAAAATGTTTTCCATGGAAAGTGAGTTCCTGGAAAATGTTTTCTTGGAAAACAAGTGGGTTTCTTACTTATTTTCTAATGTTTGATAAGTAAGCAAGAAAATATTATCTCAAGAGCATTTATCTGTTATATAGCAAAGCACTATGGTGGCGGGATGTGAAGGGGAGTTGGGGTGAGGGGGTGGGGTGGGGGTGATGGTCTACGGGTGAGGGTCGAGGGGAGTTGGATGGGCGGGGATGAGACCATAAACTTGGGATGTCACTTATGCAACTTGTTTTCCCTATTCCCATTAGAGAAGTCATTTTCCTCACTTTTAAGGAACTTGTTTTCCTAGAGAAAATATTTTCCAAACATTTTGGCCAGCCAATCATGGGAAAATTGAAAAACATTTTTTGAACAACATCTTCCTCCATACCAAACACACCCTAATCCCTCTTTTACTAAGGAAATGCCAGCTTATCTGGACTTTCTGGTTTTCGAGAGCTTGAGTTGGAGCTGCACTCAAGGATGTGGTCTAGTGATAGTGCATTGAGAACCATAGGGTTTCAAGTTCAAATCCCGGTAGATGCAAAAGCACTAGGTGATTTTTTCTCATTTGGCTAAGCTTTGATGAACATAGTTACTATATCCAGTGAAATTAGTTGAGGTGACGTGAGCTAAGCATGAACACCATGGTTATAAAAACAAAAGGGATTGAATTGGAGCTTCTTTAATTTATGATTTGTTCATTTCTTTAGGGTGTTCATGAATCTTAGGTCTATTCCCCTGGCTATGCGCTTTAACAATACTAAACCCATCAGGTTACTGAATATTCGTAATGCAACTCTAACTGTGTCCAACTTTTTTACGATTCATAACAGTGTCTTTCAGCCGTTCAATTAGTTTGTGTACATCAATGTGAAAGATAGTCGAGCACATTTCTACAGAGTTTCAAAAATGTTGTATTGTTTTCAGGTTGGAAACTTCAGTACTAGATTCTCTTTGCCATCCTTTCTAAAACGTGTAAAGAAGTTGACAGATAGTCAAAAGGATTCCATAAGTAGGACTGGATTTGGAAATTTGCTCCTCATTCAAACTCAAATGCTTTCCAAAAACCTATTAGTTGAATTGATGGAAAGATGGAATTACGAGAAACGTGCTTTTGTACTTCCTCCAGGCGAGATAACCATATCTCTCCTGGATGTTGAGTTAATTTTGGGATTACGAGTGACAGGAAATCCTGTTCTTTTACGAGAAGATACACCTTTCTTAGATCTAGAAAGAGAATATAATGTTGCCCTGTGGAATAGAAAAATCACGGTTGCATCATTAGAGCAAAGACTTGATTCCCTTGCTGAGACCAACAATGAAGATTTTGTGAGGTCTTTCTTGTTATACATGTTTGGAACTTTTCTGTTTCCAAATACAAATGGCAAAATTGATTCTCGCTATGTATATCTTCTCCGAGATATTGATAAAGTGAACAGTTTTGCTTGGGGAGCAGCTGTTCTTGCAGATGTATTTCACTGGTTGTGCAGGAGAAAGAAGGAAAAATTACAATATGTTGGAGGTTGTCTTATTTTTCTTCAAGTAAGTTTAACAATCTCTAATCTTTGTTTGAATAACCTCAACTAATTTGTGTGTTACCTATGTAACGACTCTTTTGACGACAAGTATTTATGACAAATGATACATTGTATCCACTCTATTAACTCCAAACAGAAACCTCAAGTTTTTACTGTTATTTGAATAGATATGGTGCTATGAACACATTGACATTGCTCGTCCACGTTTACTGAACTACCGCTCTACGTTACCCCGTATCTGCAATTGGGAAACTACTAAATCTCATCATAGACAATGGTTCACAACAAAATTCAAAGAACTAGAGACTAATCAGGTAATAAGATTTACAACAGTTTCTGTTCCACTTTGTCTGATCTGAATTTACTTTCTGTCTTTTTCGGTCGTGAGAAAATTGTGTCTTTGTTATCTTGGGAAGTCTTGATGAACCATAGAACTTTCCTTGGTTATTTTGGAATTGATATATTAAGCAAAATGAATCATTCTTTTGAGCATATGCCTACTTGGCTATAATTCTGAAAGCAAGAAAGAGAAAAATTAAACAGACCCTCTGGTCTACTTTTCGCGTTGCTTGGGTTCACAGACAGCAGTAAATAAAAGAAAAGTTAGGAATATGAAGTTGAGGCTTTCTGATATTTCTTCTTCAGTGTTGTTTTTCTTTCTTTCCCTTTCCTTATATATGTACATTTTCCTTCTGTTGTTGTCTTCTTATCTTCCATTCATAGCTTCTCAAACACACCAAAGTTTTGTATTCTCATCAATATCAAACAGTGATAATACGGAAGCATAAAGAATTGTATTATGCTTTGGAAAATTGACTTCTAGTTACTCTCGCTCTCTCTGCAGATAGTTTGGAGCCTTGAACTGACTTCTGATGAGTCCAATAGTGACATAATCAAAGAGTTGATAGTGGCAGAAAAGAGAACATGGCCTGACCTGAACACACGGTCTTCAGTGGATACTCCGCCTCATATTGTAAGTCTTCCTTCCTCTTTTGCCATATATTTTTGAGCTTCAAGCTCTTTTAACCAAATAAGTTACAATAGTGATCCAATCTTTGCCAGTTTAGTTAACTTTTTGTAGATTAACTCCTTTCAATTAATAGGACCATACTGTGAAAAGTGGATATCAGTCGATGGGTCATTTGATCGTTGACCTGGAAGCTGAATCAGAGAGTGAAAGTAACAGACCAGCATACGGAATGCAAAATCTTTCTTCTGATGCAGTTAGTTTGCGTGAAACTGTATCAGGATCTTCTGCATGTCACTATTTGAATAAAGAAAAAGAACTCACAGAGCTTTCACAAACTTCAGGAGCAAATGTGGCTATATTAATCAGTAGTGATGTGAGCTGATAATCTTTTATGTTTCTTGCTTATATATTTTTTTGAATATGACTAAATGCATGGGATGTTAACGTCTGTTTACGCAGGACGATTGGGAGGATGATCTGCAGAAGAAAAGCCAGACTCTAGAAGAGCAGATAGTTCAACTAAAGAACAAAATTGGTGACTTGACAAGAGAGAACAAGATTCTGAAAAACCAACTATTCTCGAGTCTAAAGTTTGAAGAGCAGAACAAGAAACTAATGGATGAAATTGAAAATCTGCGACATGAAAACCAAGAACTGAGTGAATCAACCAACTGTCTCGTGACTCGATTAGAAAAACTTGTGGTTGATGAGATCACAGATACATTAGATAATGAGAGCATAGAGAACAATCTTTGAAACAAACCTAAAAGAGTCTATTCAGATGAATTTCACCTATTTATTGTCGGAGCTATGTACTGATCAAAATGTAAATACAAGTGCAATTCATACACTTATCTTTCCAGCTTACATATGGCCATAGAGATGAGAACTTTAGTGTTGGAAAAATAAGAATTAGCGCAACTTCTGATAGAGAAGTTCAATATTTTGATTTATAGGCTGTAGCTCTGCTGGTGATTATACTTGACTGCAGTTGTTCTTGATTTGTTCTCTTATTAGCTGGAAGTAGCATTTCCTACATATTACTACACATGACGAAAACATACAATTGTGACAAAATTTGAAGAAATTTACACATCATAACTACCTAAGGTATACATTCTTCTCCGAAGGGAACTCTACCATCAGACAATGATGGTAAACATGCACAACAAGAAGAAAACCCGAACCATATACACCAAAACACCATTACTACTTCCTTGTGGAACAAAATGCAGCATGTGTTCAGAAGCAGTATCAACTAATAATTTAACAAGGAATACTTCAATCTCAAAACAATTCTCCCCTTTTCGACACCAAGTTTTCCACCTGTTACTAACCAGTGGCCAGGAGGATCTTGAGGCCCCTTGCTCATCTCAGTCATGTCAACAAACTTTGCCAACTTATTGCCTATAATATTCTCCCCTATAACAGAACTTGCATCGCCAATGTTATTCTCACAATTGACCTTTTTGTTCGACTTATCATTCGGGGTATGGTCCCACAGTGATCTTCGTATAGTGCATCCTGGTAGCTTTGAATACAGAAGCTTCATATACAACACATTTCTTGATCCAAAGTCCCAGACCCCAAGCTGTGCTCCTGTCACTATGTACACACCAGAGTGATCATCACCTATAAAAGTTTCAGGACACTCAATTGGTGCAGTACTGACATGCGAAAAGTTCTTCCATTTCACTGGCTCAAACCACCTACTATCTTGCTCTTCAGGCCCCTGCCACTTTGGAGCGCCAATTGCTACATGAGTGTCCCAACATGGCAGAAGGATCTTTGGAAGGTTAGTCAGATGTTGAAGATAGATGCATAATCGATTTGACTTGGAACCTTCAAGAGTTAGCCGCATGCCAGTCACAGGCTTACGCCCCACTGACACCTGTAGTGAAACAAAACTGGCTCAGAACATTGATAATTTAGTAAATGGGATAAGAGGGCCAGGGATGCATTACAATAAGTCTATCTGATGAACATACATATAGGTTTGCACTAGCAAAATCAGTCCAAAGTGAGGGAAACATTAATAGCTAAAAATGTATTGACTTTCATTACGTTCTAGTCCTGGCTTCAAAATTATTCTAAGCTTATATCATAAATTACAGTTCTTTTAATCTAAATGGAATAAGAAAATCAGTAATAGGTATCACACTGAATTAAATCGACTAAAAATGAAGCAAACCTAATGGACCCTTAGGTTGTAACACTAGGACTAAAATTGATTAATGATTGATAGCTTTGTTGGAGCCTGGAGAGGTAAGCTTAGGTCTGACAAACTTACAGGACAAAACTTATCATTTTCTCCATCAGTATAAATTAAATTAATATTTGATAAAAACTCTATTTCCAAATTCAGAAATCGGCATACTTGTTCTTGGCTAACATAGAGCTTTTGTCCCATCATGCTGAACTGCAGATGCGGGCAAACAGGTTCCTTCCGTTGTTGGCCTGGAAATCTGTCCTGTACAGGGGCCCATACCCTTGGGACCTGAAACTCTAGGAAATATCTCAGCTCTTCAATTTGAGGCTTGTCTGCAAGCAATCATAAAACTAGAGTCATTTGTCGACATTTTGAATCAAAGAAATGTCAAAACTTTGATAAAGAATTTAACTGTTTACAATAACCAAGATAACTTACATTCGAGATAAAGACTTATAGCACGCTCCAAATGCTCCTTGCCTTTGATTCCTTCAATTAGAAGAGTTATAGGGTAGAATGACATCTCAATGACATCTGGAGAAGATCTGACAGTTTTTGCCCATTGGCTGTGGCTTTGTTCCAGATCATCTCCTCCTCTTCTTCTAAAAATGACCGTGACATCCTGCATCAGATACATTGAAAGGAAAGAACCAGATTCACACTACTGTCTGTCATTACTGGCAAGAGATCAGAAAAATCAAGTTTTACAGATGTTTAAGAGCAATCAAGAAACTGGTCGGTCTTGCAAAATAAAATCATGAATCTGCTTCAACCAAAAAAAAAAACGATACCAAAACTTAGCAACAAACCTAATGTGAAGAAATTTAACACTAATAAGACCTAGTATTGACATTTAAATGCTTTACATTGTGTTTTGATGTAATAATGGAAGACAGATGCACTCCATAGGACAAATATATGGGTCACTTCCCCAGTGAAGAAAATTCTTGTTTAGAAAATTCGTGCAACAGAAATGGAAAACCAAAAATCAAGAAAATAATGAGCAATGGAACTGGTTACATAAAAGGTTCCAATTCAACAAATCTGCTACTTCCAATTTGGTAACACGATGAAGTATGTAAATAGGATTTTTCCATCATCACAGTCCTGAAAAAATGCTGGTCAGTATGATGTTTTATGGATTTTAGGTGTGGAGTGACAGCAGGATGATGACTGAGAGCTTCTAGTACCGATATGAGTAGTGCGCTTGTCCGAATATGTTCTCACACGGCCGGAAGGGGCGCACGCCAAGTTAGATAGAGCAAAGGAGGGTCCTGTCAAGTTGGTCCGCTAACGCCTAATCTTCCTATTTATAAGTCACAGCCTACTTCGACATTTCCAATTTGCCATAGAGGAACTGCTTCCTACGTCTGCGGTCGTTGCAGCTAAATGGAGGAAGGAGGAGGGCCAGAGTGGCGGACATCAAATGGATTGGAATTTGAAAGCAAAGCAAGGGATAGCAATTGCTTCTCCGTGAAGAGAGAGAGGAGAATCGTGATAGATCAGACGATTGGCTGGTCAAGGCAGCATATCAGTATACATGTGGTAGCTTTTGAACAAATACAACCTTCAGGAATAAACCATAAATTATGATTTTGCATCACGGTCAACTGACCAAGGTACATCTATGGCAAGAAATCATATTGGAGAACATAATACTAATCTCTTGACACAATTTGATGGGTCCACAGATTAAGAACTAATTTGATTTACAAATTTGGTAACAGAAAGAAGTAAAAACTAAAATTGTCTTTTACAAGTAATTTTGACTGAAAAAGCAATTGTAAATGAATTTGAACTGTTAAAACTTTGGAATTGTATAGAACATATTATTATTTCATAACTCTCAAGCACCTTGGTAGTTACGAACTCCAAAAACATGACGTCCTCTACATAAATGGAGTTGGACGCAATATCTAAAAGTTTGTGGTACTATAACATGACAAAAACAATTACATGAAAAATCAATTATTAAGAGGAACAAGGGTCCTTCCTTCTTGACATTCAAATGAGTATTAGGTTCTATGACATATCTCTTGAGAATGACCCATCAGTAGTAGAAAAGATCACACATAACTGTTGCACCTATTCAAAAAGCAATAAAAACCAGAAGAAAAGAAAAGAAATGCCACAAACCTCTTTGCCGTTTCCAGCAATATATGGAGCATTAGTGGGCTGGGGAAATATCCCTTGGCTATTGAATATTGACGGATCGCTAGACTGCACAATTAAATTGAGGAAAGGGATTGGGAAATTTGTGGATAAAGAAGACATCAGAAGACAAAAGACAAGCACTTTATTTGAAAGGGAACAGTCTAAAACAACGGTTTTCATAAAAATAACAGACAAAATAAAGGAATAAAATATAAAGTTTGAAAACAAAGAAAATAACGGAACTAGCCTTGTCCTTGTATTTCAATAAACCTGAACTTGTAAGGTTTTCTGTGCTGGAGAACCTCTGATTTCCAATATCATGAACATAACTTTTTATTTCCATTGTGGAAAGAGGTGATGAAAGGTGCTGTTTAACATAAATTACATCTTTACCACCAATAGTTACAGATGTAATTATGTGAGTCCCAAAATTTTCAATGAAGCTGTAAGAGACAAGCAACCCTTGTTAGCGAACAATAGAGGTTCTAAAACTTAATTAACATGTCAACTATATAAGCAAATTTCCCTTGTCGAAAGAAAACTAATGAAAAATTCTAACCTTGCTAATGCGGGTGGGTCCCATGATGCTGGGACAGCTCTTTTAACACTTTCCTGTAATACTAACGGTGAGTTCATAAGTTGAAGCCTAGCAAGTGGTATGAAATATCCATCCATACAAAGTGTCTTTGTAGTGGTAGCATCAAAATGCTTTGCACCAGTGAAACTGAACGCTACATTAAAGCTACCAAGAGGAGCATGGCCTGGAATACTAGCCTTTCTGTTAAAATATTCCACCATCTGCAGTCAAAAGCAGCACTAGAATAAGTAATTTAAGAAAACTACTTATTAAATAAAATTAGGAAAAGAAAAGATTAACCAAATGTAGAGAAACTTGCACAAGCATTAGAGAACATAAATTCATGAAGATCCTTTTTGAGAACACGGATGAACAAAGACATGGAAGACATCAGTCTGAACTACTCTGTTTTGCACTCCAAAACATGCTTGCCTCATGGATGGCATCACTGAATTTGCACTCCAAATACTCTGTTTTGGTCCTGCTCAACCTGAACCCTTTAGACTCTAGAGTTTGTTTTCCCCTTTCCAACCTAGCATTAACTCCAGTACATGTCTCATCTATCAGTATAATGTCATCCACATATAACATACACCGAGGCACCTCGTCATGAATATACCGCATCAATTTATCCACCACTAAGGCAAACAGGAACGGGCTAAGAACTAATCCCTAGTGCAACCCCATCTCAGCCGGTCCGATCTCCTCCCAACATTCTCACCCGAGTTTTGGCTCCATCATACGTGTACTTTATATGTAAGCTATTGGTACACCTCTAACCTCCCGGCATCGCCAAAGGACTTCCCTCAAGACTTTGTAGTAAGCCTTTTCAAGGTCAATGAACACCATATGTAAGTCCCTCTTATTTTCTTGATATTTCTCTACCAGTCTCCTCACAAGATGAATGGCTTTTTTAGTCGATCGTCAAGTCATGAATTCGAACTAGTTCTCGGAGATGGACACACCTCTACTTACCCTCACTTTCACTACTCTCTCCCAAACTTTCATTGTGTGGCTTAGCAGCTTGATACCCCTGTAATTGTTGGAGTTTTGGATATCACCCTTGTTCTTGTACAACATAACCATTTTACTCCACCTCCATTTTCGGGTATTTTAACTGTTGTAAAAATGACATTAACCAAACCAGTTAACCACTCCATACCCACCCTATCTGCACTCTTTCAAAATTCTATCGGGATCTCATTTGGTCCGGTTGCTCTTCCCTTGCTCATCTTATTAATAGCACTCTTAACCTCCTTAACCATAATACACCTACAATACCCAAAATCTCGAATCTTGGAGTACTCCGAATCTCCCAACACAGTGTCTTTGTCCCCTACTTAATTCAATAATTCGTGGAAGTAAGCTTGCCATCTTCGCTAATTGAGGGTCTCTTCCACTAACAGCTTGTCTTCCTATCCTTGATGCACTTCACATGATCCAGGTCTCTAGCCTTCATCTCTCTTGCCTTTGCGAGCATGTACAATTTCTTATCTCCACATTTGTCCTCTAGTTCAACATACAGTCGTTCAAAAGTTGTCGTCTTTGACATTGTAAACGCTAACTTAGCCTTCATTTTTGTAGTCTTATAAGCTACTGTAACCCAAGGCTAGAAGAAATGAGAAAAAATCTCCTAGCATTTTTGTCTCTACTGGGATTTGAACCTGAGATCTCATGGTTCTCCACTAGTGGCGGAGCTACAGTGTCCCGAATGTGTCCAATTGGACACCCTTCGCCGAAAAATTATACCGTATACATAAGTAAAATACTACTTGCAACGGTTAAATCTAGTCCATTGGCCCTCCTAAATACATCAAGATGCTACGGCCCAGCGGTGTGAGGCTCTCTTGCTCACACTCTAGGCGTGGGTTTGAATCCCCACAACTGCATTTCATAATCGTTTTTAATAGAACACTTCTATTTTATTATTACTCTAAGTTATTAACTTGTTTCTTTAATTGTCTAAGCTAATTAAATTACATTCTTAATTAGAAATCTAGGTTTAGTAGCTAATTGAATTTTCGATGAATTTGACTTTTTATTTCTTTTCATTAAAATTTGAAATAAAACTTAAATGTAATTATTTAATTTAAAGTTAATAAACAAATTCTAAACTATTTCTATAAAGCTGCTAAAAGCGAACAAACGAACACCGCATTTGATTCTGCTTCCATTATTCATGTCTTGTTATTGTTGTCATCACCATAGATTAGTGAAAGCTTGAAACAATAAAAATGATTTCATTTTAAGCTTAATTCCCCCCCCCCCCCCCCCCCCACCCTCCTTTTTTTTTTTTTTTTTGCTATGTTTGTTTCCTTTATATTAAATTAAACACAAATATTATGCAGTTTGGATTTTTAAATTCTGGAACATTTATTCATAAAAAAAAGTAATATTAATATTATGAAGTTCAATTTTAATTTTTTCAATGCATCCATTCATCGAAAAAAAATTTGCTTATGTAATACTTGGACACCCTTCGTAAAATTTCTAGCTTCGTCACTGTGCTCCACTTACTTCATTGACCACAAGACCATACCCTTGAGTGCCTTCCTGCCTTTTATTTTCATTAGCACTTATATACATAGTTATTACTAGGAATGTCAAAAACTTAAGCCAGCATCCGGATACTTGCAGGGCTTTTATTCAGTGGCATGAGCCCACATATAATGTGTGAGTTAGACATACATCACAAGTTAGAGAACCTAGGACAAATGTTTGGTACTTAGGTAAAGAATGGTAGAAGGTATCAACCGAGCTTCAAACCGTGTGCCAACTGGTCCTCAGGGATTACACAACAACAATAACATACCGTACCCAGTGGAATCCACAAAGTGGGGTTTGGTGAGAGTATAGTGTACGCAGACCTTACCCCTACCTCTCAAGAGTAGAGAGGTTCTTTTCGATAGAAGCAATCCAGCTAAAGACAAAAACATCATATATTAACAGAACACAAACTACATCCTCGGGGATTACACGGCTATAAAAAACATCCTGATACTTGTAGAAAGCATCACTAGATTGACATAAAACAATACAATCAACAATTCTATAATTTAACAAATCAAACACAGAGCACCTAAAAACAGTGAACTAGAGCAGACATACCTCATTATAATTGCAAACACTAGAGCCATCACGACCGCCGGGCTCCTGAAAGTTCTTAATATCCCTTGAAACATTAGGCAAGACTAGGTTATCATATAAAGAAAGATCCCTTGTATGGTCTTCATCAATCTCTACAACCCTAGACCCAGACACCCCTTTACAGTAAAGCAATCTTGTATCATAATTCACATCAAAACCCCTTCCTAACGCCTGCGCCGCATTTAAAGCAGTATGAAAAGCTGCTGCGTTTTCTTCCATTACATCCCCAAAAAACTCCAATCTAAAGCTCAATCCAACGCCAACCCAAAAAACCAAATTCAATTTGAATCAAAAGGGGTACTTCAAGAAGTCCAAAAAAGTAAAAAGATTGAATCTTTTTCAGATCAGATAGTCAAGAACCAAAACCCCCAAATTGTAATCTTATGAAATCAGAAAATCAAGATTATGAGAGTCAACAAAAGTAAATCAGATTCTTGGAAGTTTGACTGAGAAAAAGATTTACCCAAAAAATGGTGAAGAAGCAGATGTTGAATCTACCAAAGAAGATTTTGTGATTGCTCAATCCAATGGCTCTCTATTACAGTGTATGTACATTTTGTATTGTATATATCTAACCATTGTTGACTCTTCAAAACATTTTTTTACTCTATTTCTATTTGGTTATTAGGGAAATTCACACGTGGCTTATACACATGAAGTTATTGGTTTGACTAATATGACATTGGGATAAAATATAATACTGAAAAAATTATGTGGCTTAGAAAACTTTTTTACTCATTATACTTAGAATTTTTTATAGCAAATTGCAATTTCTCGATGAAAGTCTCATTCCCAAGATAATATTAATGATGATAGGTTAAGTTGGACGGAACACGGGTGGACTAGGAATCAGGACACAGGAGGATAGTGGTGTTATAACGAAAAGTCGTTGGCTCAGAAAACAAACCGGTCACCAAAAAATGATTAGGGAGCTCATCCCCGATTTTTTGTGGGTTGATTGTCTTTTTTTTTCTCTTAAATAAAAGTTTAAAGTTTCTCTATGTTGCAAAATCATCGTCATTAGTAAAGAATATATCTGTAAAATGTATCCGATCTGAAATTTTAAATAACATTTGAAATTGAGAATATATGTATATTTTCAAAGATATTTTTTCTACGTTGATACAAGTGTATTGTCGTGGTGACCTTCTGATCGAAAAACGTCAACTTTTCTTCCCTTCTTTCTTATGGAGTCACGTACATTTATGTATCACAATGAAATCTCATAAAATACAAGTGTCATACAACGAAATATAGTGATGCACAAGTGTATGTTTTATGAGAGAATATATATATATATATATATATATATATATATATATATATATATATATATATATATATATATATATTGATCGAATGCATATAATTTATTGTGATTGTATGCCTTGATATAGCGAAATTAAGTGAACGTATACAACCTATACAAGTTGGTAACAATTGAACAATAGCTATGAATGAATACAAGAGATTTTAGAGCAAACAATTACAATTGATACAAGTTGTTAACAATTGAAATGATAGAGTGAGTGAATATAACTGAAACTAAATCAAATAAATACAAGTGATACAAACTGATATAATTAATACAGTACTACAAATGAATACAAGTGATACAAGCTGATAATAATTAATACAATAGAACGAAATAATACAAGTGATACCACATTAGAGAGGAAAGATACAGCTAATACACGCAGGTAGCAATTGTAACTATCTTGGATCTACTAAGCGAACAAATACAACTGCTAAACCAAAAATAGCTACAAATGATAAATAAGCAAATTATAGCTACTAATAATAATTATGCTCCAAACTATAATTGTTTAGGAAATTGTCCCGAAAACATTTCCTATTAGTAACTTCTCAATTCCTAAGCTTTGAACTCGAAAACTCTAATTAAAAATTCAGGACCCTTTAACAGGTGTTGTGATAGTAAAATTTTTAAACTGGATAAGTCTAAACTTAATAAAATATAATTTAGTAGAATACTTATGAATTTATTAGTATTAGTATATTTTGGATGTAAAAGTTATTTTTATGCTCAATATTTAGTAATCAGAACTTAATTTGAGTTCTCATTTAAACCATAAATTTGCATGATTTAATTGCAGTTAAATTCAAGTTATACTACTACTAATATTTATTACTTATATTTTTTACCTATTCAGTTTGCATAATTTTAAACTTTTGCTAAGACTACACAAAACACAAAAAAAATGTATATTAAAATAGTCTATTTGAATTAGGCTCCATCAACTCGATGCGTAGACCTAATGAGAGATTATTATCAATTTTTAACACTAAAAATGTATATAAAATAATAAAACATTTTCAGTTGACTATTATATATATATAAAACTCTCCAAAATACAATTTACCTTTTTATTTAAAGAGTTAAATTTTTCAACCAAAAATATCAAAAGCACGACTACAATATAATTTTAAAATAAGAATAATTACTCGAAAAGAAGAAGAAGAAAGAGTGTTATCCTGAAAAGAAAATAATGTTTTAGATCTTAAAACACAACTAACATATAAGGTGACTCAATTGATTTAGAGGGTATGCACACAGATTATCTGGGATTGATCACCGCTCAATATCTTTTGAATTGGACCGAACCTATCACATAGGACTTGCCTAGTGCTGTTTATATTAAAAGGAAAAGCTGATATTTTTTTTAGATAAATTGTTAAGCATAGTGAGCAGTAATGTCCAAGTCATGTACCCAAAAATTAATTTGAACTCATTAATCCTGCAAATTCATTAAACCCACAAGCCACAAAACAATGATTTTTTTATTTTTTTGAGTCAAATAATAATAGTTAGGTCTTGGGAATGTTCCTAGGTGGGATGATTTAGTTGACGAAGAAGAGCAAGTTTCACCTTGAATAACAAATTAAGTCCACGAGCTTTAGAATTTGTGCCTAAAAGTGTGATTGCAAAGAAGAATGAATCAGAGGCCTTAGCATCCGGATTTAGTCCCACTAATGCTTATGATATGGGCGGTGATTTTTTTATGAGGATGAGGAAGATAATATGTTGGACGTATGCTTTGATAAAGGGGCTATGAATTGGGATATCTCACTAGGCATCAAAGAAGCGGAAGCAACAAAAATAAAAAGAAGACACATGGTAGGACATACAGTTAGGATGGTAAAGTAATTGGGGAGTTTGTCCCAGGCAACTAGGATGCGAATGACAAAGCAAAATCATATGACTTTGTAGGTTATTTAATAAGTTGAGTGACTTTATTGCCGTAAAAATTATCACTTGTATTAAAATTCGAAACATGTGATTACTTCTTCTTTTGAAGGAGTTAATATAAATTAAAGACATTGGATTCCATGTTTATGTTGGAGAGATATTTATGCCATTGGATTCACTATTTGAATTATTATTATCTTGCTTTTTGTGGCTCATATGCAACAATGGCCTACCAAATGTGATTCTTTATTCAAATTATTGTGTGTATGAATTATTATCTTTATTCAAATTCATTGTGTATGAATTATTCTCTTCTCTTTTAGCAAAAGAAGACTTTTGTGAGAGGAAGATTTTGTGAAGGAGCAAACGCGACGATGGCCGATCCTGTAATTGGTGCTACTGTTCAAGTTTTGCTTGAAAAGCTGCTTTCTCTCACTATTGAGGAATTCAGTAGCTCAAGGGACTGCAACAAAGATCTTGAAATGTTGACACAAAATGTATCCTTCATCCAAGCTTTCATTCATGATGCCGAAAGACGACAAGTTGAGGATCAGTCTGTGAAACTATGGCTCAACAGGCTTGAGAGGGCTGCTGAAAATGCTGAAAATGTGTTTGACAAATTCAGGTATGAATCTCTCAAAAGACAAGTGAGGATCAGAAACAATCCAATGAGAAAGGTCAGTGATTTCTTTTCTCATACTGCTTTTAAGAACAAAATGTCTCGAAAAATCAACATCATTAATGAAGAGTTGAGGGGTATCAATAAAGTAGCCAGAGACCTTGGTCTCCAATCACTCATGGTCCCTCCTCGGAAAATACTACCGATTCGAGAAACAGATTCCGTAGTAGTTGCTTCGTATGTTGTTGGCAGAGACAACGATGTTGCTGAAATAAAGGAGAAGATATTGACCATAAGAGAGGATATTGATCTGTGCACCATTCCCATAGTGGGTATGGGGGGTTTAGGGAAAACAACTGTGGCCAAGAGAATTTTCAATGATGAACAGATCGAAAAACACTTCGAAAAGAGAGTATGGTTGTGTCTACCTGAAATGTCAGATATTAAGAGATTTCTTGAACTGATCCTCGAATCATTGACAAAGAGGAAAGTTGAGGTCCAGAGCAGAGATATAATAGTCAAGACGCTACAAGATGAACTGGCAGGAAGAAAGTATTTGCTTGTCCTGGATGATTTGTGGCGTGTTGACCCAACATTGTGGGATGAGTTTGTGGACACCTTGCGAGGAATAAATACATCCCGAGGAAACTTCATTCTCGTGACTACTCGTATGGAATTGGTGGCATCGACAGTAGCAGCAGTACTAGGTCCTCATATGTTGGAAAAATTAGCAGAAGATGATTGTTGGTCCATTTTCAAACAAAGAGCGTTTGTTGATGGTAAAATTCCAGAGGAAATAGTGAGCATGGAGAAAAGGATTGTTGAAATGTGCCAAGGTTTACCATTGGCAGCAAGTGTGCTGGGAGGCCTCTTACGCAGTAAGGAAAAAGATGAATGGCAGGCAATTCTTGATGGCAACCCCCTTGTTGCAGGTAAAAATGATAACGGAGAAAAGAGCATAAAGAAAATCCTAAAACTCAGCTATGATTATCTACCATCTCCACAACTGAAAAAATGCTTCGCTTACTTTGCAATGTTTCCAAAAGATTTTGAGTTTGAAAAGGAACAACTTATCCAACTCTGGATGGCAGAAGGCTTTCTCCATCCATGTCAAGAGACCACTGTGATGGAAGACGTTGGGCACAGGTTTTTTCAAATCTTGTTGCAAAATTCCTTGCTACAAGATGTTAAGTTAGATGAGCACAACAATATAACACATTGTAAGATGCACGATCTTGTGCATGATTTGGCTGGAGATATCTTAAAATCTAAACTATTTGATCCGAAGGGCAACAATGGAGAAAAACTTTCTCAAGTTCGATACTTTGGATGTGAGTTACCAGGGGATCAAATAGATAAGATATATGAGCCAGAACGTTTGCGCACACTGTTTTGGAGAAACAATTATGTATCGGAAGATATGCTATTGAGCTTTAAGCTCTTGAGAGTTTTAGATTTGTCCAGTTCAGGAATCAACGAGTTGTCCGCCAAAATCGGGAAGCTGATACACTTGAGATATCTTGATCTCTCGAACACTGAGATCACAGCCTTGCCCAACTCCATTTGCGAGCTCTATAATTTGCAAACATTTAGAGCCATCAACTGCCATTCACTCAAAGAACTTCCATATGAGATGGGAAATATGATAAGTTTGAGACACATATATTACACTTCTGCTGACGAAAGATATTGGCATTGGGGAGGATGGTGTATTCGCAATGAACATTTTCAGATGCCACTTAATATGGGGCAATTGACTAGTCTTCAAACCCTCCAGTTTTTCAAGGTAGGTTTAGAGAAAGGTCGTCAAATAGAAGAATTAGGTCATTTGAAAAACCTAAGAGGTGAATTGACGATCAATGGTCTCCAATTGGTCTGTGATAAAGAAGAGGCTCGAACAGCATATTTACAAGAGAAACCAAACATCTGCAAGCTTGCATATTTATGGTCCCATGATGAATCAGAAGGCTGTGAGATCAATGATGAGCATGTGTTGGATGGTCTTCAACCGCATCCTAACTTGAAATCCTTAGCAGTAGTGGACTATTTAGGGACTAAATTTCCTTCATGGTTCAGTGAAGAATTGCTACCAAATTTGGTCAATTTGAAATTAAGTGGTTGCAAAAGGTGCAAAGAAATTCCATCCCTTGGCCAACTGAAATTCCTTCGGCATCTTGAGCTGGTAGGATTCCATGAGTTGGAATGCATTGGACCTGCTTTATATGGTGTTGAGATTAGCAATATCGGATCAAGCAGCATTATCCAAGTGTTCCCATCATTGAATGAACTAGTATTGAAGGATATGCGTAGTCTTATTGAGTGGAAGGGAGATGAAGTTGGAGTAAGAATGTTTCCTAGGCTTGAGAAGTTGCAGATTACAGACTGTCGACTGTTAAAAAGTACTCCAAGTCAATTTGAAATCCTGCGTGAATTAGCAATTAGTAGGGTTGACAGTGAAAAGCCATTGTTGAACTTGTGCAGCAACTTGACATCTCTTGTGCATCTTTCTGTTAGTGATGTGAAAGAGCTCACTTGTCTTCCAGATGAGATGCTACGCAGCAACGTTTCTCTTCAATCCCTATTGGTCTTCTACTGTGGAGAGTTTCGTGAATTGCCACAAAGCTTGTACAATCTCCATTCTCTTAAGATATTATCGATTGTCTGCTGCACCAATTTCAGTTCTCTTCCTGTTCCCAGTGGGGATAACAATTTGACTTCCCTCCAATTATTGCAATTAATGAATTGTGATGGATTGATCAGTTTACCAATTGGAATGCTAGATCAATGCCGGTCTCTAGAGTTTTTGAGTGTCACCTGCTGTAACAACTTGGTTTCATTCCCTTTACATGCGTGGGAAATGCATTCACTTTTACATTTGTGTATATCAGAATGTCCCAAATTGATTAGTGTACCCGAAGTGGCCCTTCACCGTCTCACTAGGTTAAGGGATTTGGAAATTGGTCCTTTCTCAGAGATGGTGGATTTTGATGCATTCCAATTGATTTTTAATGGCATTCAGCAGCTGTTGTCCCTTCGTGTTCTGAGGGTGTACGGACGTGGGCACTGGGATTCTCTGCCCTATCAGCTTATGCAACTCTCTGCCATAACAGAGATCAGAATAGCTGATTTCGGAATTGAGGCTCTTCCTCCTAGACTTGACAACTTTACTTCTCTTGAAAAATTATCGCTAGTGAGGTGCAAACGGCTACAACATCTGAACTTCTCAGATGCCATGCCCAAATTACGGCATCTGCGGATAATTTATTGTCCATTATTAGAAGCTCTGTCGGATGGGCTCGGAAACCTTGTTTCTTTGCAAGAGTTATATTTACATAACTGTGAAAAACTAGAGCATCTTCCATCCCGAGATGCCATGCGACGCCTCACTAAATTATGGAAACTGGATATTCTAGGCTGCCCAAAGTTAGAAGAAAGTTGCACCAACTCCCAGTGGTCCAAGATTTCCCATATTTCAAATATTAAAGTTGGTGGGAGGATAATTAAGGACAGATGTAAGTCTCTGTTTCTCTTTCACTTTCTGAGTCGCTCGCATTTTTAATTAGAGTATTATTTTCCACAAGTTCCATAAAAGAAGTTTTGTAAGCAATTTAATATTTTTTCCTGAAATTATTTTGACATAAAAAGAAATGCTAGATTATCAATCAACTGCATCTGTGCTATGCTTTCAGCATTCTGCCTGTCCACTTGAACTGAATTGTTGTTCTTCTAATTCTTCAAGTATGGTATATCTATCTAATGAAAAATTATGGTTCAAAACGTCTGTGTGGTAAATCAAGCCAAATCATATGAGCAGTAGGCAATTACGTTAGGTAAATTTTCATTTAGAATTTATAGGCACTTTGTAATCTACTTGTTTCTATGCTGATGAATACAACATTACCTTCCTAAAAGAAAAGTTTAATCATGAAAATTTATGATTTCTGCTCATAGGTTACTAGGTACAAGGTCATGGTGGAACATCGTTGTGGTATATCAAGTCAAAATCCATGGGCAGAATCATGTTAGGTATTTTATTTAGTTGTTAGAGGAATGCTATAACAAGTTTGTAAAGTTCTTTTTTACATTCCTTTTCTCTCATGAAACAATTTTAATGTTTAACGGGAATTGTTGTGTTTCACAAGGAACCACCACTGTTATTTTGTATGAAGAACAATTTTCAACTGTAGACTCATTATGGGACACTTTCATGAGTATTTGGGAACTGAAGTCTACATATGAAACATCAAAAACTCAAAAGCGTATAGGGTGCTCAATGAGAAGCTACACGGGTCTATTCTCCATGTAAGTTTCTGCAATGTATTTGATGAATAAATTCTGATATCTGCTCTCATTGGGACATTGGTATTTAACTTTCTATGAAGTTGTGGAACTGTTAGAATGTAAGCTGTTTTATCCAGAGCTTCATTCTTTATATATTCAGTGTTTTACTTTCTCACAGTATTAATGTCTGACCATTGCCTCTCCCAACCAGTACGAAATAAGAAGAATTTCAGTATTTGTCATATCTATTCAGGTGCTATGATGAAGATAATGGAAGAAATGGATTGTCGGTGCCATCAAAATAATCTTAATGCTTATGAGGTATTCATGACTTGCAGCTCAAATAATTCTCACAGAAAGACGCTTGCATAAGCTTTGATGCAAGACAGATTTCCTTTTGGACTGTAATGTGACTTCTACTGATAGTAGAAGCTTCTTCAGTTTCCGTTGATTGTCTTCAACAGTATTTCTCTGGTATGGTTTTTCTTTATCCCCTAAATGCTGCTCTTAAATCATCCTACTTACCTTTATCTCGTTTACAGTTCTATGTAAAATGAAAACTCTCAAAGGAACAACTCCAAGTTTCATATATGATAGAGGTCTATATAAGTTTCTTAATAGTCACACTTCTTGTTACTTCCACTTCACAAAATATTTTCTCCGTTTGAGTACCAACAACAACTATCTATTAAGTAATAATCATTGAGTACAGAGTCGCTCATTTTCCCAAGTGAAACTATTCTTTTATGTACTGGTGTCATTTGATAAAATATAACCTTTTTCTACGAGCTAATCAAAATAAAAGACTAACAAGTATTTTTGGTAAATAATGAATGAGTAGTTCAACCAACCAACAAGTACCATGTCCTTTTGTTATGATACTTCAACTGCTTGATACAGATATATGTAGTGTTGTAGACTCACTTGAAATCTATTTTTACTTCTTTATCAACTCAGGTACTATGGTCAAGGTAGTAAAGGGTATCCGTGGGCCGAGCCATTGACTTCTGTTCATGAGCTATTCATAAGATGAAGCTAGTTGGTTGCTGTAATACAAAGACAAAATGTATGTCCCGGCTGACACGCGATTCTTAGATGCAAGACAGATTTCATTTTGGATTCTGTAAATTATGTTCACAGTCTTCAACATTAATTTTTTTTCCTATTTCATTTTCAGGGGACTGATTGGAACGTTGTGGACATTGGTGCCGTTGGAGATTCTGGTTGCACAAAGCTGGAAAATTCAAGGTAAGTCAATTTTTGTTCATAAAAGATTGCAAATGGTGCTTTTACAGCATCCTATTTACCTTTATCTTCTTTTTTTTGTTTCTATTGTTGTTTGTTAATTGAAAACTCTCTTGTAACAATCCTAAGTAAATTCATATAAGTTCCTTAATAATAGTAATCTTATATTGGTTTTATTTTTATGGTTTAGACAGTAGAGATGAATCTATATATGTATGCACACTTGTCGTTACTTTCGCTTCACAGCAAAGGATAATTCATTGAAACATTTGCAATTTACGAATAAGACTGCTATCCTTAGCAATACTTATTTATCTTATTAGTTCTTGTTTTCATCTAAAATCTCTTTTTCATGGTTGTTTGTTATGAGTTGCTTCTCCATTTCACAAGGTGCCAAAAACTGACTTTTTATCGTTTCCTATGTTTAAGCTTCTTGGTTGAAACAACGGATTGCATGGATGGACCTTGTCGAGATGGTAGACTGGAGCAGACGTCTCTTAGATGTGTTTAAGTTTCATGATTGGCAAGGGAAATTGCATTTGGCGGAAACTGGTGTGGAGATATTATTTACTTGTATGACTAAGATTTGACAGCAGAGGTCTTGTACATGCCTTTTTGTACAAATAGAGTTTTTGTTTATTAGGCGAATCGCTCATTTTCTATAAGACTCTAGAGATGTACTCTGCCTGAGACCTCTCTTCCCATCAAAGTATCCGTATCCATCTCTGTTTACGTTAATTGTGAACTTGGTTGAAGAAACATGACATGTCATCACCAAGTTCTTAAAGTATACTGGAAATCCATACCCTTTTTCAGAGCTTCACTTATG